GATCGTCGTGGCAGGGATGGCAGGAACGCGGTTGGCAGTGGCGCTAATCACCCGATTTCGGAAATCCGATTTCTCCAGCTTGGCAGGAATGTTCGCCCGGCCTTCACGCCAACGCCTTTATTTTTGAAGTGGCTGTGCGGCGAACTTCCCAATGCAAGCTTTGCTGTTTGACAGCATAATCCGTTTGAAAAGGTAGAGTTGAGTTGCACTCCTCCCTAGGGCCCTTTTCTGGTCGCACATGTATCATAGCACGACTAAGCACTCTGATGACGCGGGAGGAAACTCCACGCCGATCTGCAAAGCTCCTGTGCGCTGACCACCTTCAGGCCTGGCCGTTGATGTTCGATAACGTTGCGACCGTGCCTTTAGGTGAGGGGGTGTATTTTTACATCGCTACTTTCCTAGGAGTTTGTATCATCGTGTACAGTCATCGTGTGTACGTGCATACCGTCGTGCGACTCTCAAGCCCTCTGAGTAAAAAGGTAGCGCACGTACTCATGGCTTAACGGCGTATCCTGTGGATTCTATAAATTCTATTCAACCTTCAAGCGTTTCCCGCCTACGAGGCTTCATTGCCGTTGTCTAGTACCCGAAGCCCTGAAACCTAAACCCGAAGCCCTAAACCCTACTTCGTGGACTAACCTCATCTCTAAGAACTTGTTGCGACCTCTTGTCTGATCCATGAGCCTTAAACCGAGATTAACCCGCTTTACAACCAGAATCCCCACTTCACAACCACAGACACTGTTTTCGATGTGAGATTCCCCACTTTACAACTCTGGATCCTGGGAATCCCCACTTTGCAACCAGTCTGCATGTCTGTCTGCATGTCTGCATGTCTGCCCGTCTGTCTGCATGTCTGCATGTCTGTCTGCATGTCTGTCTGCATGTCTGCATGTCTGTATGCCTGCATGTCTGTCTGCGTGTCTCCATGCCTGCATGTCTGTCTGCGTGTCTCCATGTCTGCATGTCTGTCTGCCTGTCTGCATGTCTGCATGTCTGTCTGCATGTCTGCATGTCTGCATGTCTCCATGTCTGCGTGTCTGTCTGCATGTCTGCAGGTCTGCAGGTCTGTCTGCATGTTTGTCTGCATGTTTGTCTGCATGTCTGCACGTCTGTCAACATCAGTTACTACCTGGATATTGGCAGCCACACATATTACTTCAACTAGCTCGGTGAGGTGAGCCACCAAGGAAAGATTAATACCGAACCCTCAAGCACAGACACATATATATATGTATAAACATATATATATATACAGAATATCTATATATATCTATATATATATATATGCATGTATGTATGTACGTATATGCCTTGGATTCGGCTTAAGAACGCCCACATTGCAACCAGCAAACTTTCATGGTTGCTGTAAAGGATGCTGCTGGAGGTTCGATGCTTTGACGAGTTACTACGATTGTTAAGAAGCATTCGCAACCGGTTGCAAAGTGGGGATTCTGGCTGTAAATCGGGGTACACGTGCCTTAAACCAACACACTAAACTCCAGAATAGATCAGTTTGGGAACCCTTATAGAGAGCCCTGATGAAGCCGCTACAGAACCACTTCCGAATTCTTATAGAACCCCTGAAGAACTTTGTAGAGCCTGATGGGCCCTCATAGAGCCCTAAACCCTAATCCCAACACCGTAAACCTAAAACCCTACACCCTAAACCTTACAGGCCCTAAACCTTAAAGGTCCCAAGCCCGTGAAAGCAGGCCAAGCTGCGATCTTCGGCACTTGGGACCCGCCGGGGACCTGTGACGCGGTGCCGCGCTTGCGCTGTGATTGCATCGTGGGGTAGAAGGCGTAGAAGGCCTAGGTCGGGCTTGGTTTCGGTTTCAACAGCTGGCGTAAGATTGATTAAATCCTGCACCTGCGATTTGTGTTGTTTTTTTGAAGAATGTGTGCCCAGCCCTGCTCGAACTACGGCATCTGCTAGGTACCTGCGAGTCCTCAGGCTTGCACGCTCTTAGCATAAGCCCTCAATCCGCAGCACCCTAAACGCTGAACGCTACGCCCAACCCCTCATCCTTCTCCCGACCCCAGGAGAAGCTTCAGTTCTTCGATCAAATCCGGACTTTGGACAAGAACTATCCAGGCGGGTGGCCGAGGGGCTCATGTTCAGGTTTAGACTTGAGGATTTGGGTTTGACTTCGAAGTCTCTGACCCTGGACAGTAGTATGATCTGCTTGCACCTTCAGCTTTCAGGGAGGGGGCGGGGGCCTGCCTGCTTCGAAGAGTAGTGCCTTCAATCAGATTCAGGCATGGGTTTAGGTGCAAGCCTTACAGTATCAAGGTATCAATTCTAAACCCTGTATCCCAGCACCCAAAGACTAAATACCTAACATCTAGAATTCCAGCTTCATGTCTTCCCCAAGACACCAAGACCTGCCCCAAGCCCGATACCCTAAACCTTAAACTTGGCACACTAAAGTCGAAGCCCACGGCTCTCTTGCGACCGGAGTGGTGTGGTTTCAGGTTTCAGGTTTGAATTTTGTGTATTGGGTGTGCTTCGATAGGGCTTCGGGTTTAGGGATCCGATACCGCACCCGTCTGCTAAACCGTACACCTTTTGCTTGCAATGTGGGCTCATGTGCAACAGACTTCCGCAATCCGGCAACAGGAAAGCAGTTTAGGACAATGTGTCGATCCTGATGGAAACCTCTCGCCTAGCAAGGACTATGAAGGGGATTCTGATGCGTGTGCTTGCTCGTCGTTTTCTAGGAGTATCGTTTGGGCAGTGAAGTGGTGAAGCTATCGTCAGTGCCTCTCCAGCCCACAAGGCGACTCCACAAAGCGCCCTGGAGGAGTTTCTTCCTCTGAAAACGAAGAAATGTTCCTTTAGCTGGGAGCCTGGTTTCTAGATTGACAAGTCTTAAAACTCAATGAGCTGCTTTTGGAAAAGGCGCAAATGCCTCAAGCGAATGGCAGACAAGCATGCGTGTCTACGAGAAGAGCGAGAATATGATTGAATATGAGCCCACATTGAGAGTCCAGGAGCCCTGGCACTGTAGCTTCTTGAGTGGCCATGAGAGGCGAAAGATGGGGCAGCATTGAATGCCATAATGTGCCACACCTCTAGCATGCAGAACAGCTGACTTAGACCCTTCGGACCCTTCGGATCTGATAAGAGCCCCTAGTCTACCCCAAACCGAGCGCCCCATTTAGACAGCAAGGACCACCTATCAAACCTGTATACGAGTATATGTTAGGCATAGATGCGTGCCTAGGACTCAAGGGCCCTACACCCTAAACCCTAAACCCTGCAGGCCCTACACCATCAGCCGAGAAGCGCTGAGTGCTCCTTGCGGAGGCGGACTGGGGAGCTACTTGCGGAATGCTCGGACCCTGCTCCAGGCCGCCGGGCGCTGCCTAGGGGTTCGTCGGGTTTAGGGTCCTGGGTTTCAGGCTTGGAGGGTTAGGGAGCAGCATCGCGTCTCTAGTTGAATGCTTTTAGTAGATGGTCCAGGCCTTCTTTTTAACGGGGTTTGTGTTTCCAACCCAGTTTGGATGTGAGCTTGTGTTTGGAGTTATTGGGGCAAGTCAACCGTGGGAAGAACGCTCGAACCTGAAACCGCAAGGCCCCAAAGTAGCCAATTGCATGCAACTGCACTTCTCCGCAACATACCAGCCGCGAACCCGCCTGAACTCTCCAAAGCCCCGGAGCCCAAAAGCTAACACCTTGCTGTCCCAGAGCCCGAGGCGTCTGCCGGAGGGGAGAATCCCTTGGATGGATGGGTCCCATCTGTGCCACAAGAAGCTTGGCTTTGTGGGTTTTTCGGGAGCACGCAAATTCCTTAAACCCTCTAAAGTCCCACAAAACCCTATAAAGTCCTTGCACGAGTCCTTGTAAAACCCCAAAACACCTTGTGAAACCATATAAACCCTTTGTAACTCCCGGAAAGCATACCCTGAACATGTCTCTGAAACTCCATAGAAAGCCTAAACCCAGAACCCACAAAGAGCCGAGGACGGTTTCCGACCGGAGGTGGGCTCTGCAGAATTCCTGGCCTACGAGGAGTTCGGGGTGCAGGAGGCGGAGGAAAAGACCCTTTGGGGGGTTCAGGGGACCTGAGGGTTAAGGGTTTTGGATGGTTTTGGGTTAGGTACGGTTTGCGTTTTTTTTGTTGTTCTTAAGGGGGAGAATGTTCTTAGGTGTTGGGGAAATAGGGGTTTATTGATTTGCGGGTTTCTTCTGGGTTGAAGGATGACTTTAAGGTTCAGGCTCAGGTTCGAGGACCGAGGGGCGTCCGTGTGATGCCATTTTCCCCGCAGGTTTCCAAGTGCTGCTTCGTGATCCCAGCTGGTGGGCTCGGCGAGCGACTCGGATTCAGCGGCGCACCTCAGCCGCACCGGCGTGAGGTTTGCTTAGGTTGGCGACTGGCGGCGCAAGGTTTTGGGTCGGGGCGAGGCCCCGCTTCGGGGTGTGCGTCTGACAGTTCAGGAGCCAACTTTGGCAGCATGCTTTTTGTCCTGGCTTTCGGGTTTGGGATTTGGAGGCTTCATCTTGAAGGGCGTAGTGAAAGAATGAAGCCCAGCGAAGTTGAACCTATCCAGCTTAGGCCAAGCATTCTGTCAGCCCACTGTGCGACTATTCCCGGACTAATCTGAAGCTACATACTTAGGTCAAAATGCGTAGTCGCCGGTGATCTGAAGACGCCCAGTGTTGGCTATTAGCTAACAACGAGAACAGGCAGAGAAGAAACTTGCAACCAGAAATCTCGAGGCACATAGAGCTCCGGGTCCGGGAATGCTCCGGACATGAACCCCAAGCCTGAAAGGGAAGAAGCTCAGGTGAAGTTCGCGCTTCCTGCCGAGCTCGTTACTGGCAGCTGTGTGCTGGGTGTCTACTGCGCCTACCTTCGAGCTTTTCAGGCTCAACCGGAATTTCAGGAGGTTTAAGGTTTAAGGTTTAAGGCTTTAGGGATTTGGGGGTTGAGGATTTGAGGGTTTAGGGTGTTGTAAGGGTGCATATTCTTCCGCTCGTAGGATCTCTTACTCTAAGGATTCTAAGGGGCCATGTCGAGGTCGAGAGTAAGCCAAAGCTTCTGAGGATCTTTCGGAAGCGTCCACCAAACACCCGTGCCGGCTGCCTCTGGCATCTTGTCAATGGAAAGCCTGATGCCCGAAATTTGCACCCTGAAATCTCAAGCAGGGCATACCGTGTGCAACTCTGGATTCATGCTTTGGGCTTCATGGTTTGGGTTTCCTGGAGCCCTAAGCCAACAATCCAGTTTGCCTTTGCAGCACAACCAGAGCATTGTAGAAACCTTCGGCTATCGCTTTCAGAAGGCCTTGCGACAAGGACTAAGGCCTTGTTGGTGTATCCAACTTTCTCTACGTGTCTTCACCCAAGAGGGTCAGTCCCTGCCTGAACGAACTCTTCCACTGAACAGCCCGAGGCGCTGCGAAAAGGTTACCAGCTGCCTGTCCCATCCCATCACAGAAGCCAGGAAGCTTTCACCCGAAGAGCAAAGCATACGAAGCCCCGAACTCCATGCTAGTTTAAGGTGCATGAATCCAGGCTTAGGGTTCGGGGTTTCGTTGTTTTGGTTGCCAGGATTTTTGGTTTTAGTGTTTAGGGCCTGGGGGTTGTGAGTACGGTTGGGGTTCGTGGGGGTTTTAAGTAAGCTTTCGGGGGGTTTTCTAGGGTTGAGCTCCCACATAAACTGAACCTTCGAGCCGTGGCCTGAGCTTCAAGCCCAGGTCATCATGGCAAGTGCCGACACTGATGCCGGCATTCGCGAGCTTCTCGCGCGCGGCTTGGTGCATTGCTGAACGTTTAGTCTCCTCACTTGTCTGTTTCAATGGCTGTCTGTCCGTGTGCCGATGATTTCAGGTTTTCGCCATCTTGCGAAAACCCGTGACTCCTTGTCTCTAATGGAGACAGACGCACGGATACTCGTGACTTTGCATATGCGTACGCCGATCTGTTCCTTGATCTGTTTATTTACTTGTTGTTTCTGTCTCTCTCTCTCTCTCTCTTCCTGTCTCTGTCTCTGTCTCTGTCTCCCTGTTTCTGTCTCTCGCGCTCTCTCACAGTTGGTGTGTATCTCCTTGTGCATCTATTTACCTACCTGTCTTTCAACCCCTCTCCTCATCAAGCGGCTTTCTGTGTACACTCGCACTCCCTGTCCTGTTGTAGATTCCAAGACAGCGGGGCAGAGTTAGAGATGTGTTAGAGTTTGCAGGAGGGTTGGGGGCCCAAGGTTCGGCAAATTGAATGTTTCGAGGGATCTGTTGAATCTGTTCTGGTTGAGGGCGTGAACCCCAAAGCTAAACAGAAAGATGACGACCGTGACTGCAAAGCTTGCTTTGCAAATCAGCCTGCCGATCCGACGGGCTGGAAACCAAGGCCACAGCTACTTCGGCCTGGACGAAGACCAGGTGACGATCCTTGTGCAGGACCGGGTTTGCAATTTTCGTCAAGGGGGGGGAGTGGTGTCTTTCGGAGGCTACTTAGGACCTAGTTTTAACACAAGTGCAAGTCCTAAAACCCAAAACGCCTCTAACTCACCAAGAAGTTTGTCAAGCCGCTCAAGCGACGAAGTCAAGCCCCCGCCCCCCCGCTTGAACACACCAAACCCTGAGTAGCTTCCCTTTTACGGTTTCGTCCTGACTGGCTCCGAAAAGTTTCAGTTGCTACATCCGATATCTCTGAGAGCCTCGGGAGTTTCGGGGATCTTGGCAGCCCTATTGCGGCTGCAACTGCGGCTCGAAAAGGGCAACGAGCTGTTTCGGAGGGAGAAAGGTCACAAACACACACTTGTGGGCAGTTTCCCACATTGGGGCCACAAAATAGTACGGCTCCCTTACAAAGAGGACCCTGAAAGGGTCCCTGATTTAGAGAACTACCGATGTTGCAAATCCAAGAATCAACGGGATAAGCGCTGGACAATCCCGGAAGTTCCGAGTGGCAACCCCAAGTATGCTCCGAGGGTGTTGGGCATTGAGTGGAAGTTTCAGATCTTTCTCTTATGCTTTTCTGGGCGTTTTTGGGTGTTAAGTTCGGAGTTAAGCTTCAGGTTTCAGGGCTCAAAGCTCCTGCAACGTTCCTTGCAAAGTGTGGCTATGAGTTCGGGGGTTCCAGCGGCTCTAGCATGGATCGCACTCACCCGGCGAGTCCTGGGCCCAAGATGCTTGAAGGACGATCTTTCCAGGCTGTGAGGCGTAAGGGTTTACCGCCGCTTGAGGGTTCGCTTCTCCAGGTCTTTGCTCCTAAACTAAACGCTAGCAGTAGTGTTCAACACCCTAAGCCGCCCAGAAGCCCTACGGCCCCACGAATCAGCACCAAAGCAAGGAGAAAGTGGCGGCTCTGGCGAACAGCGATGCGCTTCTGAGCATGGCCGGCCCTTACAAGGTTCCACGGTTCTGTAAGTATGAGGTGTGTCCCGGAAACCCAGAAATCCTTGCCCCAAAGACGCGTCCGTGCTGCCACGGTCCTTCAAGGAGAAGGGTTCATGTCTCTTCAGACGCTTGAATCACGTCCCAAATAGCGGAGGCCCGCCTCCCTATGAACTCCAAAGCACCGGGCTTCCTTTCTTCGACTCTTGAGCCTTGATAGGCCGAGGGCAAAGAAGCAAAAACGAAACCTTTGCCCCTATTTCCAGAAAGCCTTCCTTTTCCCAACTAGAGCCAGGGGCCCGTGAACAGCACTGAAATCTGAAGAAAAGCATGGTATGCCCCAGGCCGCTTCAGGGGTTTGGGGCTGGAGATTTTAGGAGTTAACCGTTTCGGCTTTTACTCACTTCTGACTTCTCGCTCTTCTCACGCCGGGAAGACAGGTAGCAACGAAGCCCCATGGTCATGGCGACGTTCACTTTCTACTGCACTCGGCTGGGTGCTTTGGCCAAAATTATTTGGAGTGGCAGGGCTCGGAACCCTAACCGCAACTCCCAAGCCTGGAAAGCCTAAATACTCTTAAACCCGCGTGCCTCACCACCGAGCGCCCGTACGGAAAGAGCGGCGGAAAGGTGAAGGCGGTGACGGTCAATCGGGCAGCTTCTGTCCTGGACTGCACGTCGTCCTTACTCAAGCGAGCGTAACACACCTCCCCGGCGGTTGCACCGCTCTGAGCGGCGCTTGCCTCCTGCAGCCTTTGGGTGTGCGCTTACTGGGGGCTGAGGCCCCATTCTCAGCAGGGCCATCTCGGTGGGTTACGGAGTTTGCCGGAATTTGCAGCCGCGGTCTTCTTCTTCTTCTTGCACCGGCTGCTCTGACGGGCCGTCGGAGACAGTTTTGTGTGCTGCCGTTGGATCAAACGGTTCGTCTAGCAATGCAAGATCCTTCCCTCCAGGTGTTCACCTCCTGTCTTCAGAGCGTGGTGTTTTCCTTCAGCGCGTGTCAGTGGCTTCCAAGACTTTGTGTCGATCTGGGGCCGCATGGACCCAATGGCACAAATGTTGCACCAGAATGCAGAGCACTCTCCTCACGGCTTGACGACGAGTTGGACAGCTCACCTGCTCGAGCTCGGCCTGCCCGAAAACCTGCTCAGTACCTTCAATCGATATGTTTTATAATGTAGAAAACATACACATATATATATATATATATATGGTACCCCCCCCATGTGCCTACCTTCCTC